AATTGACAGATATATTATACCATCGAAACTGAGAAAATACGGTGCAATAAGCGTTCAAAACGAGAAACAAGAAAAGCGTTCCTCATCGAAGGAATCTGCGGAAAAATACAGTCATTATAAACTGATTATAATGAAAGAAATGGAGAAGGAAGAGAAAATTGAACAGAAATATCATTTGCTGACGTTTAATACATGGACCAATGATATGGTGATCCCGAAGGATGACTTCATTAAATTTTATAAAATGGTATTTCAATTAGTTAAGTGATAATTTTGAGTAAAGAAGTGAATAATGCATGTAAATGCGTGGTAATTAGAACTTAATGTTGCATAATTTTGATATATTGATTTTAAGTCATTTAAAGATAATTTTAAGTTATGTCAGGAATTAAAATTTTTGTACTGAATGTACTGATTTATTGATTACAATTGAATTTTTAGCATTTATTTTGATTGTATTCAGTGAGCAAGACAAAATGAAATTTATGTTAAACCAACTTTTGAAAACTTTTTTTTGAAACTGTTTTCAAAAATTGAAGTTTCAAGAAATGTTTTTTTTGGAAGTAAATAAATTTACCAAAAAAAGTAATTGACAGTGCAATCTTTAAAAGCTCATTGTTTTCATTGAAGAAGAAGGGTGTAAAGTAATTCGGGTTTTTCAGTATTTTCGTTCAATTAAAAATCTTTTTTTTAAATAAATTATTATCTAGAACAAAGATATATTACAAATTTAATGAGTAAGATCATTAAAATTAAAAAATACTAGAAATAATGAATGAATACTTATTACCCATATTAATTAGTTAGTTGTGTTAATATTAATTGCAGGTTTATTGGGAATATTATTTGGTTTATTTGCAATTTATAAACTATCGAATCAATGGATATTCCAGGTTCATAAGCTATTGAAGGATAAAAGCCGCGAATGCTCACAGCTTGTGGTTTGTCCATCGGGTGCTCATCGTGCCGGTGTATGGACGGTATTCGATATGGAAACAGAACGCTTAAAAATTCAAAATCGAATTCGATTCTCTGATACGGTTAATTTAGCATTTTCGTTCATTAATTTAGTTAATTTAGCATTTTCGCAATAACATCCTAGTTATTGAAATGAATAAACTGAGGTTTCAAATAAGCCTCAATCAAGAAGATATTGTTAGCTATCTGATAAAAGCTTTGATTAATAGAATCAAAATTCATCTTAATAGATTGTTTGATGTTTAGATCATATCCGATAATAATTGGATTCCTATTGTTGGAAACAATTTGAAAGATTAATGCATAATGCATTTAATTAATACAGATGATATTTGAATTTGAGTATGAAATTAAAAACAGAATATCAGTCTAGTAGACAATTATCAGTACAAATTATGCATGCAATTTGTAGAGATATTATTGTTTGCTGAGCGCAGTATTATTTATTTGCGTGCATTTTATTCCAGATCAAAAATGTGCGAAATCAACGATGCAATACAATCGAACGTTTTGAACTATTTGATGGCCTTTTGAACCTTCTCGTTACTTATGCTAAAACTCAAATATAAATATTAATTATGCAAATTATAATTTCTCTTATCATCCGTCAATATGTTATATCTATTTATATATGCAAAAAATCAATTTCGCGATTGGCGTAATGATGAAAATATATGAAACGATATTAGTTGTTAATGAAATATTTCCTAAACTAATCTTTGATCACTCTTATCTTTTCACTCTGTTAAATTAAGCATATAAGCATTCATTTTAGCGCATTTAAATTAAGAACAGTTTGATCTGAGGTCAATAATGTCTCTTTTGAAAAAAGAACTCAAAAAATGAAAACGAATAAATGATGCCAGTCAAGCTCACAAATTGCCCTTCTTAAAAACGAAAGATATTTTCAATTGAAAAGTGATCAATTAGTCAAATTTAAGATGAATATTATAGTTAGTTGCCCTGACAACCGAGTTCCCATTTCATTCACTTTTATTCTTTCGCTTCAGCCAACATGTCCTATAGAGAATTGAGAAGTTTGTTGCTTTTTTTCTTCCTTTTTATATTTTACATTTTAAACGAGAATATTTGAGCTATTTAAGATGAAAGATGTACAGAGTGGCCTGATTGAATTCTAGGCCATAATACAGTTATTAGATTTTGAAATATCTTTCGGTACTGTTTGCATTACTTCATTTCGTTGATATGAAGCTTCCTAATTACGGATTCTAAAATATCTTTAATTCAAATTCAGATCTGAAATTGTTGTGAAAAAGTTTTTCAAGTAAGAATATCTGTCTCAATGTTAATATTTTCATGAATGAACAAATTGAGACAACTTGCAGATATGGTGGAACATTTGCGAGTCCTCGGTTATCCACGACTCGTTTCCATGGAAAATTTTCGAACTCCAAATTTCAAGTTGATCGCTGAATTACTAGAATGGATAGTGCATAGGTAAAATTTTTGATGCTTTAATTGTTCCTGATCGTAATTCGTACATATAAATCGTTACTTTTTTTGGAAATAATTGTAAGTAAAATTTAGCACACAGAAAGTATGTTTCCACATTTAATCCTAATTTTTCCATATATTAGTATTTTGAAAAATTCTTTACCAAATACAACTAATTTGAGGACTCGATTAGCCATAATGAATTCAAGTTAAATTCAATTTTGTATATTCAAATTCTCACATACCGTTTCAGATACGACGCCCAAGTTTCTATGCCGCTTGTGATTGAAACAGAACTGGAACGAGCATTTTTTATAAAATCAGCAATATTCTATATTTTTCAGAAGGCTCGAATAAAACTCAATCCAAAAAAATTATATATGGTGAAGTTTTCAATTACATATGGCGAATGATAGCCTATATCTTATCAGTCATCCAACCTAATCAATGTAGACTATTTATTTGTCTAAATGTTGGATCTTTCTATCATCTTAGTTTTTTTTTTTGATGGTAAAATTAAATAATAAAAGCAACGTTTTTCTCCGATTCTTTGTGTTGATTTAAAAGTGAGTGCATTTTTAAGTCTAATTGCTAATTAAAAACAATAATGATTAGTTTTACTAAATTATCATTGAAGGCAGATGGATATGCAGTTCAAGAGCTCGCTGTTGTTGTGCAAAATTTATATGAAATAACACGTCGTCCAACTGACTTGAATCAAAATGCTACAATTAGTTCAATGAGAAATATTATACTCAGCAAAATAAGTTTATTTTTTGATTCTCTTGCAACGTAATGGATAGAATCATGTGCGTGTCTAAGAAGTCATAAACGTGATAATTCTTGCGACTTATGATTGGTATATGCAGTGTATCGGAAAACTGAAAAACTGAAAAGGCAGTTTCAGGGAGAAGAATTACAAAAATGTCGCCAATTAGCATTGCAAATTCCAAACCATGGCGCAACATTGTATGACCTATTAGCAAAAGAGGTCATTGCAAGGGTAAAATTTAACTTATCAATAAAAAAACTTAAATTCTTAAATTTGCAAGTAAATCGGCAAAAGCCTACCTTAGCAGTGATAATTAACGAAGCAATGAACTAACTAACCTATTATATATGACTTATTTTAAAGAGGATTTTCAGACTGAGCGGAACAAAGCGTTATCATTCTCATTAAGTTTATCAGATGGTGAAAAAGCTGTTTTGCAAGCTATCCAAGCTATACAAGTATCTTATCATTTATTATTAGCAACATTGAATGGAACTTAACCAATACATCTTTAAATTTCTCAAGACGTTGATGAAGTAAATATGAAAAAAATAATCTGCAACAACCGCATCTTTTATCTTCAAGACTTTTTATTATTATTTCTTTCATCCTCTTTCCTCTAAAATATAAACTTGTCACGCTATTTTTAAAGATTATACGTAATTAGAATGGATGGGACTGTTTCGGAATAACGTTTGCCCACGACTCAAATATTTTGATTGCATTTAAGGTATATTGAAAATATTCCTTTTTTTTCAACAATTTACATTGAAAATTTCATCTAATTTTGTATTATTTTAAAGGAAGAATTAGCTGTAATAAATAACAATTTGCAAAATGTTAGTTCGGATGAAGCAGCATTGGATGCTAAAATTGAGCGACGAAAAAAGGAATATGATCAGCAGCAGAAACGCTTAGCTAAATTGCAGGTAACTTAAATCGTTCGCTTTCGTCCATACTTTTAACCCCAATAAGCATAGTGTAGGATTATTACCTTATCAAAAAGTAGAGTCGTTTTATGAAAGTTCAAAGGAGTGATAGCTAAGAAACAAAAAAAAAATTAATATATTTGTGTTTTTTAATCTAAATAAACCAATTTTCATTTTGCATCTCTTTTTATAATATTTAATTTAAAATTGTAAAAGGGATAATATTGCAGTCATTTCGCCCACAATGTATGGATGAATACGAAACATATGAAATGAAATTAAAACAGCTATACGCTATTTACGTGTTGAAATTTAGAAATGTAGCATTTTTGCAAGAGTTGCAGGTATGAAAAGAATTTCAACTTTCAACATTTTTCGTTTTTTTATTTCAAATAAAATTAGTACTAAATGAAAATTTTTTTCAGAATCAATTTGATCACGAAGAACAACAACGTAACGCAGATATTGAACAGAATATGCGCAACATGGTGGAGCGTATGCGTGCACAAGAATTGATGCTTCGTGAAGCACAGTACGATCATTGCACTTATCAAAATTTGTTAATATAATTTTATGGGAAAAATTGAGTGAAGAAAATATTTCATTGATTTTTATAATTTTTATAAAAAAACAAACCATCAGGTGAAATAAAATCTTTCATGGAAAATTAACCATATCGATTAATGAACTTTCAGGATGGCTGGATTAGACAAAGAAGCAAATTTAACAAAATCAAAAGTTAAAGGTTAAAAAACATACAATCTTTTAATTAATTTTAAATCTCTCACCTGTTCATCAATGCTTTTGATTTTTTTTTATTTTACTTTCATTCAAGGATCAAAAGTATTTGGCAATATGATCGGAGCAGGAATCAGTGATGATGATGAAGACGATGATGATGATGAGGACGATCGGGAAAATGACATTTTTTACGCAGATGATGACGATGGTGATGATGATGACGATGATAATATTCCATATCGCAATAAAATGGTTGATTCTCTTTCCTTGCAAAATTTTCTTTCATTCATTCAACTTCATATCATTCAGAAACATTTATAATTTTTTGCTCCTTTTTAGTTATTATTTTTAAGAAAAATTTTCTTTAGGACAAATCGGAACCTGAACGAAGCAATGAAAATGTTAAGAAATTGGATATTAGCAGCGAAGATGATTTCTGAGAAAATAATATGAATAACCGATTCCATTTGGTATCAATCTTGTTTAACTCTTGAAAATAGTAGTAAAAATTTATCGACAATATTTTTTATGATTAAAAAAAATCAAAATTGTTTATCATATTGGCAATTTTATTCGATTGTTGTTGTTTTTTTGCTCAAAATAAATTAACAGTTCGATTTTTGTTGGCCGAAATTTACTTCAGTCAACAAGAATTATCTTTAGTTATAATATTTCTTTATTAGAAAGATTCCAAAAGTTTTTGTAACAGGTTAGCTATAAAATTTAGCCTGAGAGATAATCTTCTGTTTAAAAAAAAAATTTTTTTTTCTTAAAGCACTATGAATGGATGATTTAAACAGCTTCAACTAATTTTATATTTCCTCATTTTTAGGCAGTTTATGGCTTGTATGTGATGATATGTACTTGATTAACAAGAAATTATATCTGATATATGTATATATACCTATATTTATGATAATAAATCGCTTTTATCAATATCATAGTTCATTATTAAATTATCTTGTAATTAGATTAAAAAGTATTGAGGCAGGAAAGTATCATCCTGATGCAGGTATTTAGCTTAATGTAACTTTGAATTATGATATTGATAAGTGTTATTGATTCTATCTGTTTTAGAGAATTGACAAATGATAATTTAATGGTACTTTTAATAGCATTATTTCAAATTTCACCAATAAGTTATTACAATCAGTACAGTCATTCATAGTTAACTGATTATCTCGAGTAACAAATCCAGAAATACCCGGAATAACTTCCCTCACATAACTCCATCTTCTGGATGAAGAATTAATAGTTTCTCATGCACATCCCTTTAGCATCAAATTCCCGTTTTTTTCCGAAAAGTATTGTTGAGTGAGTCGTTTATGAATAATATTATTTTTGATCAATTACATTAGTGCCTTCAAATTTGCAATATTTGAAAAAGTTTTTGATAATTTTTTTTTTAATTTAATGAAATTTACAGGTACCATATTCAATTTTTTATTTATTCGAAAGCATCAATTATTAATGCATGATAATGGTGAAAGGATATAAATGGTGGGCAAGGGAATTAATGTTTAAAATGTCAAATTGTGAGATTAAATTAAAGAAATTAGAAATGACTCAAATATTTCGCTTGGAATATTTGAATAAAATATGAAAAGAAATGAATTTTCACAATACCATCAGTTTATATAAATGAAGTTCTAATTAAAATGCGCACGTCCTTAATTATCTATGACACTCATTACACTATTAGATTCTTTATTTTCTTCTCTCTTCCTTTGAATGATTATCGTTTTTTCTTTTTTTTTTTCATTCAATATCCTGTATTTTTCTTCCGCAGCCAATTTAATATATTGTAAATTTTCTTTAATTCCAAAATTTATAAAATATATATTCATAGAATTTAACATTCTCAAAATTCTTCTCTAAGTGATAGATGAGAGTAGGTGACAGACAGATAGCATCTCTCCGACACTCTGAAACTTCCCCAAGAAATAGATGAAGATAACATCTCTCCGATGCTTTAAAAATTGACATAAATAGTACCGGTAAACTTTAATTTGAACTGAAACGAAATTTCGAACACTAATCCCAAATCGATTCATTCATCATTCACTCCTCAGGCCGCGCCAGAAGTGTGCCGAATGTTATAGTGAAATGTGGCCCGCACTTATGAGGCCGTCTATCGGAACTTTGGTTGGTAAGGGAAGGAGATTTCAAGTATTGGTGAAAGAGTAAAGGTCAGATAGCAGTCAAGCTAATGTGACCCATAGAGGGAAGGAGAAGAGAAAGAGATAGCAATTGATAGATGCATTCGTTTAACATAAATGGAATGTGTGCAGGAAGGAATTATTGCTGTAATGAGTACCGATGGTTACGGTAACACTGGAATGATCACTTCGGAGGGAAATGATTACATGGATTATCTGAACAAAGCCATCAGTAATATCCGTTGTTCCAACGATTTTAATCGCGTTGCTCGTAAGGTTAACTTTTTTTCTGATAAAAGCTCAGTCCAATACATCGAGAATCACATTCTCTTTCTGTCGTTTAAGATAGAAAGTAATGTTATGGTACAAGCCTAAAAGAATGAGGAAACCTAGCAGACGAATGTCGTCTATTATTTTTTGCTAATGAATTTGATCAATAAGCTATTTGTCATCCTAACTGATCTATTCACAGTAGTTACTAACAAGTGGATGATGGTACGTGACAACAGCTAACTGCAGGTACGAGCAGTATCCGCGTCAGCTGATCGAGTTGTCGTGGAAATGATGGTGGAGGAGGAGCACGTCAACAGTAAGAAAACTTTACATGGAGGTCAAACTGCTGCACTCGTGGATATGATAACCGCACGAGCGGTTGGAATAACTGTACGAGATAAAGTTATGGTCTCCGTGGAACTTGCTGTGAGGTAGTTGCACATTTACTAAACATTTCAAATTTCTACTCATTACATCAAAGTTCGAACAATTATACTTCCAGTATTGTGTTAAAATAATTGTTAATAGAGATGTTCGTACATACGTTTGTGAATTTGCATAATGTGCGTTATATATATTTATATTTATTTGTGTATGTATGTACGTATGCGTGAAAAGGTCTTGTGATTTCCAGGGTCATCAAGACATAACATGCTTGTGGACAGTTACCTAGTTTTGTTGTTCATCAGTGTCTCGTCGGACCCTGTTATGCAAGCGAAAGCCTCATAAGTCTTATTTCAAATCTGTAGAGTCGGTGACAGAAACATTTTGAAAGGTCACGAACTTATGTTCGTCAGTGATGCATTCTTTTCTTTTCCAGTTATCTGCTACCGGTGAAACTTGGTGAAACGATCGAAATCGAGGCAAAAGTGTTGAAAATTGGACGGAATATTGCATTCACAGAAGCTGAATTTCGAAGAAAAAGCGATAATCAAATAGTTGCTAAAGGAAAACATACCATTGCTTTTGTTCTCAAACCACCAGCCACAAGTGATGATTCGTTCGAGCAGTTTTGATATTTTCACATTCCAAATATAAGCATTTTTCGTCATTTACCATCTCAAAACTTATAGATTTATATCACTGTTCTTACGAAATTATATACATGCTACTCGCTACTGCTACTCGAGAACCGCACTTTTTGCTTCATGGACTATTATTTTATACGAAATGAATTTAGCAATTAGTAAAATTTAATTGACAAAGTAATCTTCGCACTTGGAGTACTACATAAGTGCGCTGGTGAATAAAACAAATTATGAATCCGAAAAAAAATCAATTGTGAGATGGTTTATGGTATCCTCAAACTTAGTGTTTTATTATTCAGTAGGAAATGATTTTTACACTTATGTATAAACACTTGTGTTTGTGTAAGTGATTTGTTTCTATTTATTGTAATTATATGTGGTGGTTGTACACTTATACTTCCCGGGTGAAGATGTTCGTGAAAACATTTGAATTCTGAGTTCAGGAACTCATCTCCTAGAAACTAAATAGCGTTGTCGAAATTTCTGATTGTTAGCAATGAAATGATGTTAACATGCTACCCTTGGAAGAACTGAAATAAAATAGCAGATGCCCAATACCTGCAATTTGATATCAGTTTGAGTTCCTCACTCTAGATTTCCTTTTTTCCGCGAATGCATTCCGTAGTACACCCCTTCAACAAACGAAAAATTGATGTCACGGATATCTTCACTCAAACTCACTCAAAGTGTGACTATCAAGCAATCATATAGTGATGATTTTTCGTTTCTTTAAATTTGATAATTTGTTCAAATGGTGTAATTGTGTTTCAGAAACGTTTTGAAAATTGTGATCTCAGTTTTAACAATTGAAAAATATGTCAGCAGTCAAATTTTTATTCAGAAATGAATTCAACAAAAACAACTGTAATAAAGTAACACAAAGCTACATAGACATGGACTGTAATGAACATATACCATCGGACAGATCATCGAATCTCATCTTTTCAAAGCTTTCCTATCCTGCATCTCTACACAAACATTTAGAAGAATGTTTAGTATCTTGATCCAGAAATTACCTGTTGAATACTGCATTTACTGTGAAAATAGTCTCATTTTGTCGGAGAAGTGTGACGAATTGTTAGAAATACAAAAATAATACCAATCGCACATTTATAACTCATGTCAATACTCATTGATCGAATTTTCCAAGAATATCTGCCTCTCGAAATATGTGGTATTCCTTTTCATCAACAACAACCTTTGTACCGCCGTATTCAGGAAGCAAAACATGGTCTCCTGCCTGTAACGGAGCTGAATTTTACATCACAAACTTCTAAATAAAATAATTCCGCTAAGTTCCTTTCACTACAAAAGCTGCATACAGTTATTGGACGGTCGCCCTATTTAGCTTAAATACTTCACCAAAAAAGAATTTACCCAGTTCTCTCAACAAGCTTTCTGCTGCGTTTTAAAATATTAAGAACCAAATTTAATGGAATATCGTTTAAAAGAAATGAGTAATTTGTGTCATGAATTCTTTTTAACCTTGGTTTTCGTAAGGCAAGTAATGGAGAACTTATTACCTGAACAGTCATCGGGATCAAATTTCCCTTATCATCACGTCCACCGGGTCCAGTAGAAATTACTGTTGCTTCCAAAACTTTTCCCTGCGCTTTATCTGGGATCATAATGCCACCTTTCGTTTTTGTCTCTGCTGCAAACCGTTGCACTAGTACTCTATCCGCTAATGGCTTGAATGTCTTGATCAAATCACCGAGCTGAAAGTATTTTTAAAATTAAAAAGAATTTGAATGATTTTATTAATTCATGAGTAACAACTCATACAAACTTAATGGATGGCTACTGTTTTTAACCTCCTTTTTCTTCCCTCATTCTGTTCCTAACACCTCTGGCTCTGCATAAACATGCTGTTATCTGAGCCACATACTGTGATAAGAACATCTTTCGGCAGAGCGAGAGTTACTCTATTTGATCTGAAGAATATGTTCCGTATCTAATACAGTATTACGAAGAATGATGAAACAGTATCGTGTAAACTATACTTACCGTTTAATTTTATTTTACAATTTAAAACTTACTGATCAATTTTACACCAAGAGAAAAAAAAACTTACAGCTTTCCTTGCTACTGATACTGATGCCATCATTAAGTTTTTTCCCTGTAATTAATAACATCTTGTAGCTAACATTGACAGAAATTACCATATACAAGTAAAACAAATAAATGAATCATTAAAATACAAAATTGTTCGTTACACATAGTAGCATTATTGCTTTAAAGAAAAATAATAATGGAATAAATGTTCATTCATTTGGTTAACCAGAAAATCTATCATCTTCCAACAACGTAAAAGCAGGGAGTACGGAAGTGGTCTCTTACGTACGTGAAATCCTA